AAAAGCTGTGGCGGAAGTGAACAGGTGTGGCTGGTGTGAAAAGGTCTGGTGGAAGTGAACAGGTGTGGCTGGTGTGAAAAGGTCTGGTGGAAGTGAACAGGTGTGGCTGGTGTGAAAAGGTCTGGTGGAAGTGACAGGTGAGGCTGGTATGTACAGGTGAGGCTGAAGTGAACAGAAGAGGCTGGTGTGTACAGGAGAGGCTGGTGTGTACAGGTGTGATGGAAGTGAACAGTTGTGACTGTGCGCTGCCAGTGGTGCCTGTTTTTAGGGCGCCCCTCTGGCAAACCTCTGAGAACGTGTCTCAGGTGTGAAAGGCAAAATGAGAATAAAATTGATTGAAATTTAGACCTTAAAATAAAACCGTCCCCTTCGGTGCTTTAATACACAGCTGATGTTTTGACTAAATCACTATCAGGTGTGATATCAAAGCATCCCTGCTTCTCTGGTGTTTAAAACAATCTGTCCTCTACTTTATCGCTCCAACGTGTCGGCTCTTATCATTTCCATTTGGGACTATTTGCATGTGTAGAATTTGCCTTCCCTGCAGGCAGTTTGCATAGCCTCAGATCCAGCCTGCATAGGAAGGATCAGGGAGAGACTGGGAGCTGGTTTCCAGTTACAAAGCAGTGATAATGGTTGAAATGTTTAGTAATCATGGAGAACGTTTGTTTCTGATGACTTTTTCTGTGACTTCTGCTTCCATTAGGATGGAGACATCCTGGCCTCCAGTTTTCCTGTGGAGACGCAGGTGGCCTACATCCTCAGCCTAGGAGTGGTCAAAGAATTCAGGAAACACGGCATTGGTATGATTGCTTCAATAGATGCCATTAAAAGGAAACAGACGTTTTATTGCACAGGCATTCATTTTAGATGATCTATTGGACGTTGATCTTCAGTGTAATCAGATCTGTTTTATTATCAGAGTGAAGCTACAGTCTGTTTTTTGTCTGAAATTAAATCATTATTTGATTTATGATTATTTCTTACCTGTGATGTTAATTCAAAACTTTCACCTAAACTGGTTCATGATATTAAAGGAAAAGTCCGGTCAGCAAGGAATGATCAACGGATATATTTATACCTTAGCTAATATGTTTGTGGTGATTTAATGAATTTAGTGTAAATCAGTAGAAAAAAACAAACATAAATTTCGTCGTGATCACGGAGTCTGGGAGCGGCCATTTTTGCCCAAATATA